GATAGAGGGAGAGGGCATCCACCTCAAAGCCGGTCCTTTGGTGTGCAAAGTGCTCAAGGCGGAGGTGCAGCCCCCAGGGATGCTCCAGTCCCTCTGGGCAGGGATGCTCCAATCTCTCTGGCCAGGGATGCTCCAGCACCGCCTCAGAGCAACTGGGAGAAACTGGGAGAGCTCAGCTCCACAAATGATGCTCCTCAGCCCTGCCCAGGCAGTTTCCCTCCCTCTCCTCCCCTTTTTCCCTTGGCCTCGCGTGAGTGCTTGGGAAATAAGCGATGACTCTTTGCCTGCAGCTCCAAGCCTTCCCTCCCCCTCTCCCCGGGCTCCATCACCAATAAATCACCCCGCTGGGAGAGAGGGCCAGAGGAAACCAGAGGCACAAAACCAGAGGCACAAAACCTCGAACAGAGCCCTTTTTTTATTATTTTTTTTCCCCTGCTCTCCCAAGCAGCTCTGCATTTCATTAGGCGGCCTGGCCAGCCCTGCCCAGCTGGGGAGAAAGAGGGAGGGGAGGGGGCCCCTCAGGGTTTGCATGTCGGGAGCAGAAATCACAACCAGAAGGCCGAGAGGAGGGAGCTGTTTGTGTTTGTCGCTCATCCCGGCCCTGACCCTGCCTCCAGGAACCCGTGCTGGCCTGGAATAACTCTCCTCTGCTGGGTTTCCTCCTTGCCAAGGCAGCTCTGGGCACCTTCCAGCCATCCCCTCACCGTGCCAAGCCCTCTCTCTGAGGCTCCAGCCTCTCAAAGGATCCTCCTCGGAAGCAGCCCTGGAGTTTTCCATGAGCTTTGCCCTGCCAGCAAAGCCCCACCGCCTTCCCCCTCCCTCTGGGCCGGACCACCCTGCCCAGGAAAACACGGAGCCTCTCCTGCTCCCCTGCCAGAGCCCCCCGACCCGCTGAGGGCTTATACCGAGGGTGGGTCCCCCCTCCCACCCTAAATATACATTGGCAGAGCATCACTGGCAAGCACAGTACATTGGAGACAGATGCAAGCCCCGCAGCAGCAGGGAGATGCAGGCATTGCCTCTCCTCAGCCTTTGGAGCTATCAGCCAAGCACAGCGCCACGGTACATCCCCACCCCTCCTTCCCCCCCAAAATACCCTGTCCTGGCGCTCAGCCTTTGGCAAAGCTTCCTGACAGAGCTGCTCTGGTGTCCTCGGGATGCTCAGGCAGGGAGAGACCTCAGGAGGTGCAGCTTCCAGAGATGCTCTGGTACCCCCAGACAGGGAGAGACCCCAGGAGATGCAGCCCCTGGGGATGATCCAGTCCCTCTGGGAAGGGAGAGACCCCAGGAGGTGCAGCCCCCGGGGATGCTCTGGTACCCCCAGGCAGGGAAATTCCTCAGGAGCTGCAGCCCCCAGGGATGCTCCAGGGCAGGGAGAGATCCCAAGAGGTGCAGTCCCTGAGGATGTTCCAGTACCCCCAGGCAGGGAGACACCTCAGGAGGTGCAGCCCCCAGAGATGCTCCGGTACCCTGGGGCTCCCCACAGCTCCCCAAGCAGGGAGAGGCCCCAGCAGGCCCAGCCCCGCCGCTGCCCTGCCTCCCATCCCGCTCCCAGCAGCCTGCCGGATTCCTGAGCGCTGACACAGGATGCTCCAGCAGTGAGTGTGCAGAGCCTTCCTCCTCTTCCCATGGCCCAGGAGAGGAGGGACGGCCGGGTTGCATCAGGCCGGGAAGGAGCGAGAGCAGCTGGAGTGAAACGCGGAGCTCCTGCTGCCCATCGGCTCCCAGCCCCGAGGGTCTCCCCCAGCCCCTGCTGGCACCTGGCCCAGCCAGACACCTTTAAAGCCGGGATGATTCACCCCTCCGACACTCCCTTCTCGGTGAGAGCCGGTTTGAAGCCGATCCCTCTCCCTAGAAGGTGTCCCTGAGGAGAGCCCAGCCCCGGATTGCTCCTGGATGATTACAGCAGGAGAAAAGTGAAAGGCTGCTGCTGCCTGCCCCGCTTCCCGAGCATCACCCAGCTGCCACATCCCTCTGCCAGCATCCATCCCACCCTCCGGCGGTGCTGCAGGATTTTCCCAGCGCTTCTCCTCTCCCACGGGAGCTGACCGAGCTGGGGGAAGGGCAGCAGCCGGGGCCAGCGCTTCCAGCAGCTCGTTACTATTCTAGGAAGGGCAGGATCCTGCCATCTTCCCATTAAGTCATCTCCTCCTCGACCCGGTGAGGCAGTTTCCATAGGAGTCAACCTCTGTCCTAAGTGATGGAAGTTTTTTATTTTTATCTGGCTTATTTATGCACTTCTCTTCCCTCCTTCATCGTTGGCCTGGGCAGTGAGTTTGGGTCATCAGCCTCAGCTGGAGCTCATTCCCTGTCCTGGCTCAGCTGTCCCCTGTCAGCCTCATCTCTGTGGGCACAAGGAAAAGTCCAGGGGTAGAAGCAGCACAACAACTGAGATGAATTTAAAAAAACAGAACCAGCTTAGGTAAAAGTGATTATAGGAATTAAAATAAAATAGAGCAGAAAAAACTGATTCCAAAAGTAACACAGTGCCATTATTAGGGGTCTTTTCAATTCGAGGCTGGTTTGGTCCAGACCCCTCAGCAGAGCTCACCAGCAGCCATCACATCTCTTGTATTTTTTATTTTTTCTGTCCCCCTCAGCCCCAGCAGCCAGAGGCAAACCCCACATGTAAAAGCCAGCCAGGGGATCAAGCGAGGCGTGTGTCAGCACAGCAGATGGAGCTGGGCCGGGTCCTTTGGGGACACAGCTCCGTGGCCCTGAGCTGGGAAGGGAGAGCTCGCTCACCTCAGGCAGCTCCACGGGAGCTGCGTGGGCACCTGTGGGCACCTGTGGGCAGTCCCTGCCCTGCTGGCAGAGGCCAGCAGCAATTAAGGGGTTGCACAACTCTCCTCTGGAAGACAGGGTAGATGTGAGCTCGGCTGGGTGCTCTGCGCCAGGGGGAGGTTGGGTCTTGTCTGTGCAGGGACAGCAGGGCCACACAAACCAGCAGGACCAGGTGATCTTCCAGGGGTTGGATGCCCAGAAAACTTGGAAATGCCAAGATCAGGAGTGTCCATATCCCATTGTTGGGATTTGGAATCTGGGCAAAATCATTCATTTCCATGGAGATGCTGCTGGTGGACAAGGAGCAAGACTGAAACCTTGGGAAGGAAACTGCTGGAGCAGGAGGCTGCTCCCATCCTGAACCCAGCTTCTGACACTCAGAGCAGGAGAGCTCGGGGGGATAGCACTGTGTAGCCATCCTCCTTCTCCTCTCACTGGAGAGATGCTCCTCACCTCCCTTCAGACAGGAGTGAGAGTGTGGGGTTCTCCTGGAGAGCACCTGAGGGAGGGAAGCAGGGACAGCACCCTCCCACCACCTCCCAAAAGGTGAGTGAGTGAAAAGAAATGTCTCATCACACCCCATTTCCTTGTGTCATCTACCAGGCTGAAATTGTGTCACCATGAGGTGCAATTACCTAGAAAATTAAGATGGTAGGACTTTTGCTTTTACCCAAGAATAAGGAGCTATTAAATTGTACACCAAGTAGCAGAGCTGCCTCAAAGCCTCCCCAGACCAGGCAGCTTCTCCTCATCTCTCCCATCCCCCTGCTTGGGGATGACCCAACCCAACACCTCCAGTTTCTCACGGCTCCAAGGTGTTAAAAACCCCACCTTGGACACTTCTCATGCTCCCAAGGTTCAGCCAGATACCCCAGGCTGCATTTCACAGCACACAAACATCTTCCACTTGCCAGAGACGCAATCCCCAGTTGAAAAGTTCATTAATTAGGAGCAGAGAAGCCTCTAGTGAATCTTCCAGCAAGAAGCAAGTAAAAAAAAAAATTCCCCCACAATTCAGTCTAATTACAACGCCTTGGGGCGCTGCACTCACTGTGAAGCCGAGGCCAAACTTTTCTCCCCACCCCTAACAGCAGGAACTTTAACCCAGTTATAGCTTTACTGATAATGAAAGAGAAGGAAAAAAAAAAAACCAACCCTCCTGGTATTTATCGTTTGAACTATTCTACAAGTAACATCAAAGAAGAGGCACAGGAACACTCCTTGCAGAGCAGTGGCCGCGTTCTGCTGGGTGAAATCCCCTCTCACAGCCCCAATCCGGATCTGTGAGCAGGCACTGCTGGAGGCCGGCGCCCGGCCCAGCTGTGCCACGGGCTGGTCAGGCTGCACCCAGCTGCTCCTCCGGGATTTAGCAACCGCTTCCCACCCACAGACAGTGACTCTGCACATTAGGTACTTTCAGAGCAAGACCTCAAATGCCACGGCAGCTCCGGCCCGGGGAAGAGGCTGTAGCCAGAAGAGCAGTGGGAGCACCTGGAAGATCCCGGGAAGGACTCCAGGCCCCCTGACAGAAGTTCCCTTTCTTCCCCAGCTCCCAGAAGAGCCGGACTCCAACCCACCCCGAGCCTCTGCCGAGGCTGGGCGGATCCAGCCACAGACATGCAGAACCACACCCCGGCTGCTGCCTGCCCTCCTCCCCCTCGAGCCACTGGGGCACAAACAGGAACTAGGCTCGTACACTTGAAAATATTTAATACGTGTTGTACACGTAGAAATTACATTTTATACAAAACATGATACATCACTGAAGGAGAACACTGTACAAAATTCCCTACGGGAGCCCCAAGCCTTTATACAACAAAGACCGGGAGTTACCAAAGCCTAACAAACAGGCTCAAGGACTTTCCGTCAGAGCGTCTGTAAACTTCGTTCCTCTCAATAAAACACTTTTAAAAAGCACCATGTAATAGTTCTGACCTAAACCTTTCCAAAATAGACACTTTATTTAATAAACTTAATACTTTCCAAGCTTAAAATATCACCCGCCGGGGGCGCCCCCGGGGTCGGCGGCGGCCGAGGAGCCTCCCCCGGGCGCCGGAGAGGGCGGCGGCTCTGCCGGGAAAGGGAATTCCGGGAGGGCAGCGCCGGGGGCGCTCCCAGGGCGGGTGCCGGCAGCCGGAACCCGCCGGGGAACGGGGAAACGCCGCCGCCGCCCCGCGGTCCCTCTGGTGCGGCGGCTGAGGGTGCCGGGTCTGGCCGGCGCCGGAGCCCCGCGGCGCTCGGTGGGTGTCATGTCCGGGCCCCCCGGCCCGCGGCGGGGAGCCAGTCTCTGCGGCCGGGCCATCAGAAGGCCACGATGGCCGTGCTCCAGGGGTTGAGGGTCCGCAGCACCGGCTCGTCGCAGCAGATCTGTCCCGGCTCGGCCGCCGCCTCGGCGGGCGCCGTGCCCGCCGCCGCCTCGCCGCCGTCCAGAGGCGGTCGCCGCCGGCCCTTGGGCTCCTTGCTGAGCAGTCCCGAGAAGCTGGAGCCGAAGATGCTGATGAGGCTGGCCACGTTGCCCGTCTCCATATCCTCCTGCTCGCCCGGCGGCGAGGGCGGCGGTGGCGGCGGCTCCTCTTCCTCGCGGCGGGGCTTCTTCACCGGGGAGCCCGTCTGGCCGCGCTCGCCGGCGCTCCGCTTGCGGGGGCAGTGCGGCGGCGGGGGGGCGCCGGCGCAGCCCCCGCGGTTCTCGCCGCAGCAACAGCGCCGCGGCCGGGGGCCCTGGCAGTCCCTGCCCGCCTCGTCCTGCGGGGGCGGCGGCGGTGGCGGCGGCTCCTCGGCCGCCCAGGCGGCGGTGTGGGGCGGCGGCGGCTCCTCCTCGGGGTGGCCGGCGGCGGCGGGGGGCGGCTCGGGCGGGCAGCCCGGCTCGCTCAGGTAGACCTGGCGGGCGCTGCGCAGCACCAGCGACACCAGGAGGTTCTTGTGCAGCTTCAGGCCGCCGCGCTGGCCCCGCGCGCTGTAGATCTTGCCCAGCGAGATGCTGACGATGCGGTGCGCCTCCAGCTTGAACTCCATGGGGAAAGCAGGTGGGCGAAGGGAGGGAGTAAAGAATTTTAAAAAGAAAAACAAAAAAAACCAAAAAATTAAAACGCCCGGTCGAGCGGGGATCCGCGGCTCACCCCAGCTCCGCACGCCGCCCCTTCGCGCCGCAGACTGAGCGAGCCCACGCGCCCGCCCGCTTTTTATACCGCCCCCGGCTCGGCCAATCAGGGCGCGCCGCCGGCCGCTCCAACCGCCGGCTGGCCCCCGCGCGCGCGCGCCGGCCAATGGCGGCGCAGGGCCGCGCGTTCGAAAGCTCGCCCCGCGGAGAGCGCTCTTAAAGCGGCAACGGCAGCGCGCCGCGCGGGGTGGGGCCCACCGCGGCACCCCCGGCTCGCTGCACCCCAAGGACGAACCGGGGGAAATTCTGGCCTCGGAAAGCGATGGAAACGGTCCTCGGGGAGAAAAACAACAAGCAGCAAACCGAACAAAACACATCAAACCCAGCGCAGCCTCCGTTTGGTCAGGCTGGGAATGTTTCCCGCAGTTTCAGCCCCTTGTCTGGGATCTTATGGTGCTGGAGAAGGAGCTGGTGGTGGTGATGGCTGGAGGGCGAAGTGAGGATTTCAGGGAAAATCTGCCCTGATGTGGAGCAGAAAGCCGTGCTTGCCCAGCTGCCAGGTGGAATTCTGCTCACAGCATGCCCAGGGCAGAGAGAAGATCCACAACAGGGATGGGAAGGGCTACGGGGAGGACAAACTGGACATCTCCAAGCGTGATGGACACCACGGCAAACCAAAGCACCTTGGCTGGGAACTGGAACGTCACTGGGCTGTAGCTGTGAAAGCTGATGGCAGGATCAGCAGGGTGGCTGGGGGACACAGGGGATGACACTGTCACCCCCAGACACAGCTCCAGGAAAGCCTCTGAGATGATTTCAGAGCTTGGAGTACAAACCCTCCTCCTTCCACCAAGGACTAGCCACCATCTGCAAGCAGAAAAGAAGTGAAAGGGCCTGGAATTAAGGAAGTTCACCGTGCTGTCCCAGAGTATCAGTTTCCACTGCCAGCTGACACATCACAACTCGCTTCCATCCCTTTTTTTTCCCAGGGGATGAACCCACAGGCTCCCCCAAAGGAAAGCCACAGGCTGTCACGATGTTTTGTTGGCAGGACCTCTGTCAACCAAAGGTCACCCTGGCCTGGCTTTCAGGAAGGACAAAATGGTGGCTGGTCACAGAGGTAACTAAAAAAAAGTGAAGATGAGGCATAGTTGACATAGCAAGAGGCTTCTACAACGGAAGAAGAAAAAGGAAAAAAAGCAACAAACCCATGCTCAGGACAAGTGTATGTTTTCCTCCTGGTCAAACACAGATGGAAAACCACAAATGGACACAACAGCATGTCAGCCTGGGTGTTGACATCTCAAAATGCCCAGCCATGCTCCATCTGAATGACCAGACCGGGGCACGCTCAGGCACAGGGCCAGAAGAGCCAGGCCCAGACACAAAGTGCCGGGGGCAGAAGGTGCCAGCTGAGCCCAGGGCACGGAGAGCCTGTCCTGGTCACAGGGAGAGCCTGTCCTGGTCACAGGCAGCAGGGCTGTCCCCTCCACGCCCGGCGTGGGAGGACACAGGGACGCGGGCTCCGGTGGGAACCGCGGCTCTCCCGACCGGCCAAACCTGCTCCCGCACCTGGGGCCAGCAACACCCTGTCCTGAGCCCTGGGGTCAGCCCAACCAGCCGGGGCAGGTCTGGGCGGGCATGCCTGGCGCTGCAGGCACGGCTCTGCACCCACATCTGCCCAGCAGCAGCGTCCCCTTGGTGGCACAGGGCTGGCTGTGCCCCTGCAGGAGCCATCAGCGGCGCTGGGACGGCTGAGTGCCACATCTGGGCACTTGCATCTTCAGCAGAGGGTCAGACAGTCAGATTTATGCACCTCAGCCGGGCATATCCCAGCTCAGGGACAAAAAGCAGCAGTGCAAAGTCACCCCAGGAGCTGGGGAAAGCCAGGGCAGGAGGAAGAGGAGGAGGCAGAGCGTGGGAGCTCTGTGGGGTGAAGATGCCTGGATCCAATCTGACCTGTTCTGCTGCTCACAGCTCACCCCGATGGCATGAGGCACCTCTGCTCCCCAGTGCCTGCCTTTTGGCTGCTCTCCTGCCTGGGAACAGGCGGCCAGGAGCCTCTCCCAGCTCTGGGATCAGCAGGATGGGGATGGGGATGGGGACTGAGTGAGCCTTCCTCCTTCTCCGTGCTCACACACAGCACCAGCAAGGAGGAGCAGAGGTGCAGAACCTCAGGCTGGTACCCTGCAGCACGAGTTTCACCCACCAGCACCGTTCCTGCTGTCAGGCACATCCATTAGCACAACATTCCTGGGCACCAAAGCCCTGCCTCAACACCTGCCTGCTGTCAGGCACATCCATCACTGTGAAAAATGTGTATTTTGTGATTGGCTTTTTGCAAATATTAAAATGAATGTTATATGTGTTGTGTTAGAAAGTGATGCTGTATTAATTTGCTTAGGTAGTGTGTTAAATATAGTTTTAGGTTGTAAAAATTGTTAAAATAGAAACTGTGCTATGTAGGATACTTTATTTAAAGAAAGGACTCGCAGCGAGACAGCAGCCACAGGACACCTGAATCTTTCAGAGAAAGAGAATTTATTGCTCTCTTATCAGAAGAAATGAACTTCTTCCCACCTCAAAGGCACTGTCAGGATTCAGAGGAAGAAGCAGACAGAATCCTGTGCTTGAATGGAATTTATGCATCATGTATGAGGTGTATGAATATGCAACAGGCTGTTGCTTTTAAGGGTTAATCCTCTGTTAACGTGGGTCCTTTTTCGGGCTTATTTTGCCTAGAAAAAGGTACCTGGACTGTCCGTAACTCTTTGTTTTTATTGCCTCATATTGTCCTAATCCAAATTGTCCAAATTATTATTACTCTAATTATATTACTATTTTTATAACCATTTTATTACTATTAAACTTTTAAAATTTTAAAAAACAAGTGCTTGGCGTTTTTCACAATCAGCATGGCATTCCTGGGGCACCAAAGCCCTGCCCTGACACCTGCCTGCTCTGTGTGCCCTTTGCAGACATGGGGTGATGGTTTTCCCTTTTCCACAACAACATTCCATCTCAGAATCACTGCCCAGGACACTCACCAAAGCAAAGGTGCATGCACACTACATTAATATCATTATCTAAAGTGGGTTGTGTTGTGATGGTGTTCACAGGGGTTCTTGGATGAGGGAAGAGACGAGGATCTGACTCCATGGTTCAGAAGGCTTGATTTATTATTTTATTATATGTATTACATTAAAACTATACTAAAAGAATAGAAGAAAAGGTTTCATCAGAAGGCTAGCTAAGAATAGAATGATAACAAAGGTTTGTGGCTCGACTCTGTCTGAGCCAGCTCACTGTGATTGGCCATTAATTACAAACACCCAACATGAGACCAATCACAGATGCACCTGTTGCATCCCACAGCAGCAGATAACCAATGTTTACATTTTGTTCCTGAGGCCTTTCAGCTTCTCAGGAGGAAAAATCCTAAGGAAAGGATTTTCCATAAAAGATGTCTGCGCCACTGTTTCACTGACACACTTCACTCTCACCCCTGGGAATGACCCAAAGACTAAACTGGCTTTATGCTGTGTGTGTCCAAGCGATGTTTTTCATTCGTTTTCCAGCAGGCTCTACCTTGGATGGCAATGATCCCCGGGGGGATGCAGGCAGCGGGGGCTCCAGGATCAGCAGCACAGCCGGTTGAAGGCAGGCAGTATTTTATTTTGGTGCCGCTCCCTCCCAGGCTGATGTCATGCTTTAGTAACTTTGAGGCACAGTCACATGGCGGCAGCTCCTGAGGTCAGCGCCGGGGGTGGCTTTGTCTGCCTGCCCTGTGCCTGCCCCGAGGTGGCTCTGCACGGCACCTCCAGCCCTCCATCGCCACATCTGGGCGCAGCTGGGTGCGCCCCTGCCCTCCCACCCTGGGGATATCGCCGCAGCCCCGCGGGTCAGGGGGGGACACGGCGCACGGAGGGAGGGGAAGGGTGTGACCGCCGCTCCAATCGCCTCATGTGATCCGTGCAGCGCGCTCCGAAGGGCTCTGACGAACAATTAACAATCCTCGGGCTCAGCTGCCGCTTCCCGAAATAGCTCTGGCAGCAGCAGCAGGAGGAGGAGGAGGAAGGGGAGGAAGGCGGCCGGGCTGGCAGACAAAGGTGCGGCCGGCACGGTGGCCAGGGGGCAGCCCCGGTGGGGCCACCTGGGAAGGAAAGCAATGCGACATAAGGATGGAGGAAGCAGCTTGTGGTGCCGCTAATCATCGCACAGGGCTGCGCACACGCCACCGCCTTTTCTTTTCTATTTTTCTTTTTTCTTTTTTTTCTTTTTTTTTTTTCTTTTTTTTTTTTTTTTTTTTTTGGTGTTTTTTGGAGGCGTTTCAGTTCCGAGCGGGGAGGCCGGCGCCGGGATGCTCCTCGCTGGGGGGATCCGTGCGGGCGCGTCCCGGGGATGCTCGGGGAGCCCCGGATCCGGCAGCACCGCGGCTCTGCCGCCCCCCGAGCCTGCCTGAGCCCCGTTCCTGTCCTGGCCCGGCCATCTGGCTCCCAGCACGGAATGAGGATGTGGTTAGCGAGATCCTGTTCCCTTCTGAGCCCCCCGCCTGCTCCTCGCTGTCACCAAATGTGCGGGCCAGGCCCCCAGATGCAGTCAAGAGGTGGAAAACCTTCCAGCAGAGTCTTCTCTTCTCTTCTCTTCTCTTCTCTTCTCTTCTCTTCTCTTCTCTTCTCTTCTCTTCTCTTCTCTTCTCTTCTCTTCTCTTCTCTTCTCTTCTCTTCCCTCTTCTCTTCTCTCTTCTCTTCTCTTCTCTTCCCTCTTCTTTGCCCTGCCCTGCCCTGCCCTGCCCTCTTCCTTTGACCACCTCGTCCTTCTCGTGGTTTGTGGGGAGCCCACAGAGATCATCTATGGACACAAGGATTATGAGCACATTTTTAGGGTTTTGAGGCTGCCTGGGGAATGTTCCTTCTAATTTCACCCATAACAAGGACCCTGGCAGTCCAGCACCTCGCTGCTTCTGCAGCTGAA